ATATGTGGTAAAAAAATTAATTGTGCAGTGGCACAAGACTTCATACTGTAGTACAAAAATGATAATACATTGAAATTACATAGGAAGAGTGGTTCCATCTATCGCTTTTAGTTCGAAAGCTAAAGTAATAAAGGACAAACGATAATTTTTATTGTTTTTAACAATTAAAATAAACTTTTGTCCTTTCTAGATATTGCAGATACGGCCTTTTAGCTGAGCAGGGCAGCATTGTAGAATAAACCCAGCAAACATTGCAATGCATTGGTTATGCTTATATCCAAACGTCTTAAAATGAATTAGTTAAAAATGACCAGTTGTCGTAGCGAAAAAGCAGCCACAGACATTTGCATCCCGTTGACTACAATTAGTAGAGGCTGCTTTTTCGATATGACAATTAGTCATTTTTGACTAATTCATTTTAAGAGAGTTATTAATAGGAAACATCTGTGATGATCATGCGATGATGACTGCTCAGTACACATTAAAAAAATATTTGTTTATTTTAACCAAATAATTCAACCATAACTCTTGTAATTTTTAAAAAGGACTTTATTTTTACAAACCTTTTTGTAGACCCAGTAACAAAAGTATTTGTTGGAAATTGGCAACGTAGTATTTTCTTTAAAAACTGTTGTTTTATAAAACAAATTGGGTAATTATCTTTTAACGTTTATATTTTCCCTAAAAAAGTCGATTTTAATTTTAAATTAGACATAAAAAAATTAAAACTTCATCAAGATTTATTTGACATTTGTGACATTTGCTTTTAACCATAGAAAATAATTTTGCTAATATAAGTCATGGTTTACTAGATTTGTTTTTTGGCCAATAAAATCATCTAAAATGTAAATTGGTTGATAAAATTTATATCAATCGTTAACGACTGATTTAAAATATGGTTAAAAATAGACAGTATTTTTGTTTGTAAATATATATGAAAAAATAAATTCAGAAGGTTAACATACCTATAACAAAGATATAATTAAAAAATAACATTTTTTAAAGATAAAATTACTCCATGTTAATTATATCAAATATCTTTGCTGTTTTTTGTCTGATTGAAAAGCTGAATGCTTGAAATCAATTGATTTTTACTTTCTTTTGTTTTATTGTAAAATAATTACCCCTAACAATAAACTAAAAATATTTATTGATTCATTTTTTTATTATTAAAAACATACATACCTTCCATAAATGTTTACTTTTTAATATAATACCTAGATAATTTTAAAAAATTACTATTTAATACATAATAAGGATCATAAAATAAAACCAAAATTGTGTTTAAAAAATATTTGTCTTATTTTTTAAATACTTTTGAAGAATTTTAAATTTTAGACCAATTTCAACTTATTTTTTCTTTTAAATTTTTAAATTATGTGCTTGCCCTTCAAATAGAAACAGTAAGGGACTTTTTTTATGAGGAAATTTACACTCTATTTATTTTTCGGCTCAGAAATATAGGTCCTCTTAAACATAAAAAAAAACATAGGTATTTCAAATTGAATATACATATTATAATATTATTAATAGTTTTTGCCAGTAATACAAGTTTAAAGGCATTTTATAAGAAAATAAAAAATACACCCTGTAGGTAAAAATAATTGTATTTGCTCGAAAGCAAAAACAGGCTCAGTGTATGAAACTATTTTCAAATTGTTTTTATCATTTGTAATATTTATTTGACAAATAATTAAAAATATGCTCTGAAACAATATTTTTATTTTTAAAATAAACTTCACAAGGGAAAAAAACTTGACTAAAACAGTTAAATTTTAAAATTTGCTTTATTAAAATAACTGTTTTTAAAATTTGTGTAGCTATATTTTTCAATATTTAAATAATTTATTATTTAAAAAACAAAGTGTATAAGGCATGCATAATTTTTTCATTGGGTTTAATTTATCCCTTTAGAAAAGCAGGGATTCTTGCCCCATTTCAGCAAGGGGGCAGGCAACGGTAAACTATTTGCATGCTACAAAAAGTTTTGAGACTCCACCTCCCACCCATTGTCTAGCACACTTTTTCTGGACATGCAATTTTTGAGTGAATAGTTTAATATACATTTTAGAAATGTATTACTCTTATATGATAATAAACACATATTTAAGTATACTTAAGATAACCTAACAAATGTTTACTGTCAAAATTTGCTTTGTTGCCAAATTGGTTCAAACTGAAATCAGTGTATATGCGAAAATCAGTTGATATAAATAAATCAACGTTTCTGCATACGGCCCTAAATAACAAAATCCTATGTCAGTAATTCAACCATAAATCTTGTAATTTTTAAAAGTATTTGTTGGAAATTGGGTACTTAAATAAAAAGAATTTTGGTAAGAAATTTTGGTTTATTAAACAATTTCTAAAACAAAAAAATTAACACTTACCTACATAAAAGAACAAAAAAAACATACACACAATTAATAACATACCATTCTAAAATCATCGAATTACAAAGAAATTGGTAGAATATAATTCAGTCCTACTACAACACTTACTGATGTATTTCGTAACTTTAACCCACTTCACTGTATACACACATATACATATATGCCCTAATTTCAGTTTGAAAACCAGTGATGGGATCTTTTTTCGGATACTTCGCACTTCGCACACTCGTTAAATAGGTATAAGGAATCCGAATAACAATAATAACAGATTTATGGTAATATATTACAAACACTTTGGACAGTTGATACGAATATAATAAACTAAGCAGAAAGTGGAAAGTGGAAAATTTTGTGTTAAAATAATAACAAACCCTGTTTTTCTACAAAAAATTATGTCAAAATTTAACTAAATAAAACAAACAAACTACAAACTCATGTTAACAAATCTGATTTTTTTAACAGTGTACCTATATTAAATTTTGAACCAACATAGTTTCTCAATTTTCTGCATCGTTTTAATTAATTTTTTATTGGAATATATCAGCCGAGATTTAATTTAGTCTTTAATAATAATAATAATAATAATAATAATAATAATAATAAAAATAATAATAATAATAATAATAATAATAATAATAATAATAATAATAATAACGTCTTTATTGAAATAAGGAAATACACTATTCCAAATTGCGGAATTTGAATTTAAACATTAAAAATGTAAAAATTCATTCTTACATTCTTAGTCTTTAATAATAATAAAATAAAATCGCCGACGGTGGACTAGTGGTTAGTGCTGCTGACTACAAGCCGGAGGTCGTGGGTTCGAATCCCACCAGGGGTATGGCTGTTTATTTGTGTTTGTCCTATTGTGTAATAGTCCTTCGGAGGGGACTTTAAGCCCGCGGTCCGTTCCTACCCCTAACCCGCACAAGCCATTCAGTTGGCTTATGGGACTTCTTAAGAAGAAAGGGTGGAACTAAAAGAGCCGGGTGTATCTGAGAATGGGCGCACTCCAGTAACTTTTTTATTTATAAAGGTAGACACATGAAATTTAGCATGGTTAATTAAGATATAAAATGACACTTATAAGAGTACAAAATGAATTTTTTGAACTTTTGGTTTCGCCGGAAATGATACCAACTTTCGATTTTTAAATGGAATGCCCTATACATTTTTACATATTTGGAATCGTGAGAAAATTGTTAGTCAGACAGCGTCCTCAAATTGACCTTTTGACGTTTCGTCATCAGAAATTGCATCATCATAAAGATTAATCTAGAGTGCTTTGAACTATCTTATTTTCTTCTAATGGATTCACACAATGCCTGAAAAATGGAACTTGCCTTAGAAAGTTATTTAGCTATTCCCAGCTTGTCAAAATTCGTTTTTCTTAAATAGTTCAATTTTCTGATGACGAAACGTCAAACGGTCAATTTGAGGATGCTGCCTGACTCAGAATTTTCTCAGAATTCCAAATATGTAAAAATATATAGGGCATTCCATTTAAAAATCGAAAGTTGGTATCATTTCCGGCGAAACCGGAAGTTTAAAAAACTCATTTTATACTCTTAAAAGTGGCATTTTATATTCTAATTAACCATGGTAAATTTTATGTGTCTATCTTCATAAATAAAAAAATTACAGGGGTGAGCCTATTCTCAGATACACCCGGTATAAATTTTTTTTTGTAATAATAATAATAATAATAATAATAATAATAATAATAATAATAATAATAATAATAATAATAATAATAATAATAATAATAATAATAATAATAATAATAATAATAATAATAATAATAATAATAATAATAATAATAATAATAATAATAATAATAATAATAATAATAATAATAATGTAAAACTTCGTTCTTACATTCAACCAGAAATGACAATGCAATAATAAAAATCGTGTTTGGTAAGCGACCAGCCTCAACATTGCTACTGTTGGTAAATAAATAAAATCTATTGTTTCGAGCACGTGAAGGAAAAACGGCGCTGCATAAAAACTATGCGTTGCAAGGCTGGCTGGATAAACTGGCAATGAGTCAGCTACCGGAGGGGACTTACCCTATACTATACCTCTTTATTGGGTAAGGGTGGATAAGGATTGGCTATGCCTATGGTGCAACTGCACAAAGACCTAGGGGACTTTATATCATTCACGGACAGTGTTGGTTTAGTGTTGTGGAGGTGAAGTTCTGTGGTCGTTAGTTTTTAGGAATCCTGTGCAATTTTTAACCAAATCACGCTTTTGTCTGTGTGTGTGTAAGTTTTGAGTTAGCCCTGCACATGCACGTTGGCTTCAAACACCTGTAGAAAAGTTCGTGTCAAGTGATAAAACAAAAAGACTGATTCGACCAACCAAACATTCGCTAAGATTTAGTGTTAATTGATATAGTAACAGTAAGAGTAAATTTAGTGGTGCGCGACATAAACGATAGTGCGTTTAATTTAGTGCAGCTCTTATAGGTTGTTCCAAACGATAAAGTTAAACAAGGATAAGGGATAAATTAAGTGTGTAAAATTGAGTAGTCTGCGTTGCGTATTTTTGTCTGGCCGCCACTACTAATCGATATTGTGTGCGTAAAGGGCTGAAAGCATGCTGATTCCGACCTCGCCAACTATGCACTGCTCGGATGCAAAAGTTACCGTGGGAAACCGCGACGTTATTAAACTGTTTGTGGGACAGATACCCAGACACCTGGAGGAGGACTCTTTACGACCTCTTTTCGAAAAGTACGGCAAGATCTACGAATTCACCGTCCTCAAGGACAAGTACACAGGAATGCATAAAGGTAAAATCTAGTCCATCAGTGTTTAATTCATTTTAAAGAATTAATTCATTTTAAAGAATTAATTGAGGGCCTTAGAATAAAACGGGTATACACAGTAAAAAAAAATATTTGTTAATTTTAACCCAAGTCCACACAACTTTATGTATAAGTTTCCAATCAACTGTAATATGTTAACTAACTGAATTACTAGTTTGTAGTTATAACACACATTTTGTAAATTTAATAACAAAATCCTTTATCAATAATTTAACCATAATTCTCGAATTTTTAAAAAGGTCCTTATTTTTACAAACCTTTTTGTAGACCCATTAACAAAAATATTTGTTAGAAATTGGAAACTTAAATGAAAAGAATTTTGATAAGACTTGTTGCTTTATTAATTAATTTCCCAAACAAAAAAATTAACACATACCTAGATAAATGAACACAAAAATAACATACACACAATTAAATAACACACTATTCTGAAATAAAATTATAAAGAAATTTATTACAATATTATCAGTACTACAGCACTTCCTGATGTATTTCGCAACTTTAACCCACTTCAGTTTAAAAACCAGTGATGTCATCATTTTTTCCAATATTTTGCACATTCGTTAAATATGTATAAGGAATCCGAATAACAAAAACAACAGATTTCTGGTAAATATATAAATATAAATATTATAAACACTCTGGACAGTTGTTATGAACACGTTACGAATTAGTAAGCAGAAACATAAGTTAAAGACGCTGAAATTAGTTGAACTTGTTGATGCGTATTGAAATCAAGTGTACTTTTCTAACGAAATAATTAATTAACATTAAAATCTGTAATCTTTGAAATGCTTACAAAATTACATATTACCTTTACAAAATAATAATAATAATAATAATAATAATAATAATAATAATAAACTTTATTGCAAAAAAATATACACAACGCTTGTATACATTTACATTCACAAAGGGTCTAGGTTCAACAAAAGTTCTTCCACCTAAACCTTGAAATTACCTAATAATAATAATTGTTCAAACATGGTATACAGTAAAAATAACACAAAATCAGGTACATTGTTGCTCAAGTAGTACAGTTTGAAGTTGTTTTTTAAAATTACATAATCACAAGTGGAATAGATATTAAATATAAGTTTGAAACTTGCTTGTTTTATGGATTGGTATTGAAAACAGTTCATTGCTACGTGTGTTAATATTATGATAAGCTGATAGCCTATTTAATAGCACAAAAATGTAACTAGGTCTATATGATTTAATAACATTAAAAACAAGACAGGCAAATTGTAGTAAAAACATATGCTCACACTTAAGAATATTATGCTAAATAAAAATTGGTGTTACATGCTCACGAAAATTTACATTAAAAGAAAACCTAAGGCAGGAGTTTTGTAGTTTTTGTAAAAGTCGCAGTTGTTAAATTGTAATACACGCTGCTGCAATAATTCAGTGGACTTAAAATAAGGCTTGTAGATAATTTCCATTTTACATTAGAGTTTAAAAAATTCTTAAAATTATAAATAGATTTTAGTTTGACATAAGCGCTTTTTATTAATTTGCATATATGTTTATTAAAAACAAAGTTTTTGTCAATTAAAATGCCCAGGTTTTTAACGACTTCTTCAAAGATTATCACAGTGTTTTCTAGTAAAATATCACAGGTTTTATTTCTGAGGGTTTTTTGTAACATATTGTTTGAACCTACAAACATTAAAAATAGTTACTTTTTCATGCGAGTGTTTAAGTTGCTCACAAGGCCGTCAGGCCGAGTGTGCATTAACACGAGCTTGAAGAAAGCTTTTCTTACAAGTAAAACACAATGTTTTTTCTACGACCCTTTTATTTTTTATTATATTCAAATACAAAACAAAATAACCTAAAAACGTGTTTGACAGCTGTTAAAATTACTTTCATCTTAATTTTTAAGGTATAACGAATGTCACGATGCTGTCAATTTCTTTTCATACAGACCTGTCACTTTTTACACAGAAATGTCACTTTACATTCGTGTTTTGCCTTGCCAATGAAAAGATTCATTTTCTAAGCAACGATGCCAATACAAAATGTGACTTTTACATAGTGGTCGTAGAAAAAATATTTTTCTTTGTTAAAATAATTTCAAACCCTCGGTTTGTACAAAAAAATATTTTAAAATTTTACAAAATAAAATTAACAAACCACAAACTTATGTTAACAAATCTAAAGCCTCGTGTTTTTTGTGTGAACTTTATACAGACCTGGTCGGTTTAAAAAAATCCGAAAAATTTTTTAAATTCATTTTTTATATTTAGTCACAATTAAGTAAATATTAGAAATTTTCCCCAACACCAAAACAAAACACAAAATGTTTTTTGGGGAATATTTCTATTCCCCTTTTTCAAGTACAATTAAGAAAATACACGAGAATCTTGTCGACTTGTTTCTTCTTCTTCTTGAATTTGAACATAGCACAGATTGTCTGTGTTAAAGGAAATAGCCTTTAGCCTACTTAAAAGCTATTTGGCAAGCTCATTAGGTTTTAAAAATATTTAATATGATTAAGGGTCTTAATTAAGAGGATCTGAGTACAACTTATCCCTTGAATTATTTATTTATACTCTTCTGGTTTATATATGTTCACGTAAATGACTATTTTCGAACATGCTATTTGATGACATAAAGCTATAGTCAAATAAGTATACATGCTAGTGCTATGGGGGCCTTGAAGCCCCCTATTCGAAAGGGGTCCCCAAAAGCATGGGGCCTACTTAATGGGGCATCAATTTGATGCCATCAAATTAAAACATAATGTAACAGGTAGCTCTTTACGCTTCACTATGGATAGCTGTATCCAAGCGCAGGTCGGTTGCTTTCTTTCTTATCTGTGCTTAATTTTGTTTATCAGATTTTTTAAAGGGGATTTTTAACTTAATTTTTTCCTGTTACCTTCGTCTAGAACCTTTTACTATCTTTATCTTTATGTTTTGCTTAATTATTTTGCTTACTGCTTCCATTGAATCAAGTTGGCCCCACATAGCCACTAGCTCAAAATCAAGGGCTTTGTAAGTAGGGGACAGGAGATAGTCAGGATGCTGCAATGTTACTGCTCGTACCATGGAGATCTTTCGCAGGGGGACTTTGGAGGTGAACAAGACAAGACAAGACAAGACAGCTATTTTTTATTTTTTATGTTATTTTTTGATATCCAGATGCAAGTTTCCCAATTTGATTAGATTTTCTCACTCAACATTTTTCCCAGTATTGAAGCTCTTGGGGGGATTTCCCTTATCCCCCCCTTGATCCGCCACTCAATATGCCGACACTACGCTATAACTGTGACTTACATGTTTAAGACAAAATTTATGGATTCACCAGATTAATTAAATATTACCATTGTAAGGAGAACAGGGTCGTGCGCAGGATCTCTTAAATTTTTGGATTTTTTAAAACCATTTTACCCGGCATGAAAAAAATATTTTAAAAGTGGATACAATTTTTTCTACTTTTTTTGGATAATACTGTTTTTTTCATGAATAATGATAAACATAAATTAACTGCCTAACAACGGGAATAATAAACCCATTATTCACGTTGTTAGGCATCAGTGATTGGCCGATTTCAATAAATACTGTAATTTAAACCAATCGGGTTTTGAATAGGAAGAAGGCGATTATAATAACATTTTAAATTGGTAAAAGTGAGGTTAACCATTTGATAGATGTCAGATTTTATTTAGCAATTTTTGAAAAGCATTTAATTATCTACTTATTGGAGTAAATAAAGTAAAGTGTTACACTCGAGATTATTCGCATTATTCACTCGGATGATTTAAGTCTCTCGTCTGGCGACTCGAGACGCACACCTCTTCCTCGTGAATAATAGTCTGAATTATCTCTCGTATAATAATATACTATTAAATTTGACTTGCTTCAAAAGTTGTTATCAAGACATTTTTTTAATATTTTGTCATTTGCAGTAAAAGTTCTTAAACCCTTAAATAATGCAGTGTGCATGCATATACATTAGGGTGAGCCAAAAAAACTAACCTATCGGATTTATGGGTTAAAATGAACCTACATACCGAGCAAAAAATTTCCCTGCAAGGCAAAATTTTTTGCTCAATTTCGGTGAGCATTCAACTGCAGTTTTAGTGATTTTTTACACTTTTCAAAGCTTTCAAACATACGAATTTTTGAATTAAAAAAAATAATTCTGGTATAGATTCTTTGGGAAATTTTATGCTCTACAAGAATCCGCGACGTAAAAAATTTTATCTCAAACGGTTTAAAAGTTATAGTCTTTTTAATGAAAAAAGATTTTTTTACGTGTTATTTCAATGGAAAACTTAGAATGCTCACCGACACCTTTTAAAATTGAGCAAAAAATTTTGCTTTGCAGGGAAATTTTTTTCTCGGTATGTAGGTTCATTTTAACCCATAAATCCGATAGGTTAGTTTTTTTGGCTCACCCTAATATACATTAGGGTGTCATTTTTGAGCAACTTTTTTTTTCAACTAAAAAACAGGCTAAAAACTTTCAGGAAGGTGAAAAAAGAAGCCTTTAAAAATTTGAGCTCTTAATAATAACATTAAGTGGTGCCTGTTCCTAACTTTCCATTTTCCATTTAAATAACATGGAAAAAAAATTCTTTTTTCTTATTTTTGTATCTTGACACTTAAGCATTATAAAAACGAACTGAAAAATTATTTTGGTAGGAAATTGAACGCTCAACAAAAAATTACTAATTTATTTTTTCATAGAATAAGCCGTTCTGAAGGTATTCAAACTTGCAAATGTATGAAATTATGACTTATTTTATTAAAATAATACTTTTTTTTATGTCTTAAAAATTATTTTAAGAAAAAATAATTATTTTCGTATAGAAAGAAATTAACACTTACATCTCATTTTTTTTCCATTTTATGATATTTACTATCAAAAAAAGTTAATTGTGTTCAATAAATTTGTTCAATAATTATAATAGATTAAATAAAACAATGAATTTTTTATTGTATTGAATTTTT